CATCAGGCCAAATATCACTACACTAGATCGTTTTAAGGACCTTTACAAGAATTAGTTTCAAATTTTCCCACATTTGACCCTTGGTGAGAGAAAAAAAATGGTCAATGAAATTTAATTGAACAAACTTGCTAGCCATGAAGTCCCGCTTGCTATAGGATAACTGCCATTATTTTGGACCGAAAGGATGTTTAGGACAATTCTTTGCGGGTATTGATATCTAATCTATGAACCTGACGTCAAATTCAACAAACTGTCCGCTAGTTCGTTTCGTTGTGTAATGATGTGTTCTTCTGTAACCCCATAACGATCACACGTGTACTGTAAACATCCTTACGTAGTTCTAAAATAAAACAAAATGGGCTACATAAATGCTTTACATTGTTATCACCAGTGAGCCAGAGCTATGTTTGTAGACTTGATAGTCTTTAATCCCAGCAAGGTACAAGTCAAGTAGCAGTACTCTTAGAACTAATGGATCTTTAAAAGACGTCATTTGAAGTTTTTCAACATGTTTCAGCCCTGTCACTTTCAAAGTGAATAAAGTTGATATATCTCAAGGCTACTTATTCAGGTAGGAATTTTAAGTTTTGACACAATTGACCTTGAAAGTATGTCAAGGTTATTTATTTGAACAAATGTTATAGCCATGCATCCCATCGTACTACAGATGAATTATTATTAATCCAAACATGTTGCTTACAAAGAAGCCATTTAAAGAATTTAAATCGTATACACCTGTGATCTTGAAAATGGGCCAAAGTACTCTTTCGAGCAATGATGATGATGCAGTATCATGACCCTATGCCTCTTAAAATTCAAGTGCAATATATCCGATTTACATATATCAATGATTTTGTTTAATTGGAGTATTAAAATATGACTTATCATGTGATTGGAATTTATGGTGCAATATATCATCATTTCAGAGATTTGTTGACCATTCACACGTGTTGATGCTCTCAGCATAGCGACATGTTATTCATCACTTCCGTGTTACTCAGTCCTTACTTCCGTTTGCTGTTGCAGCAGTAACACCTTAGAGCCTTGACACAGCCAAGCTGCTTCCTGGTACATAACACAATAATCGGCCTGAAGAAGGACACAATGTGTCCCATAGGAATGCCTAGTCTGCTGGAATATCTTGCCAACGAACTTAATGGTGTTGTCGACCAGAAACTCCAGCATTATCATTTTTTCATCCTCAGTATTTTCATAAAATATGCTCCAAAATGATTTACAGCCATGTCTTTATACCGCAATTACCATTTCTCGGAAAAGAAATTTCTCATAATAAAGTTGGGAATGTGGCATGACAGTTTAAAGGGTCGAAAAGTCAAAAGTTTTGATAGAAGACACATTTTTGAGTAGAGGTTCAAGATAGGTCAAAAGATCTTTTTTCAAGTCCTTATATAGGATCACAGTGGGACTTAAACCCTGATGGAATGGTATTAAGAATGGTACAAAGAAGTTTGGATAATAGTACGGTTTAGCAACTTGATGAGCAACCGATGAAACGTAATTTATCCAATAAAAATGCGGCAACTTTTAGTTGGAATTTTGAACAATTGCAACACAGAAGCGTGATACGCTAGTATTTTGGCTTTTAAAAAAAATGGAAATGTTTAAGTAGGACTTCCTGTTATGACTAAGGTAGTGATTAAGACAAAGGTTAAGTTATTAGATGTTTGGTGTGCTGCAGACACAACTACAAACCTACCATGTAGATCGTGAAGCTCATACACTAAACCATATACTACAGAAAAAAAATCAACCTGTGAAAAGTTTAAGCTCTTAGTTTTAAGTCGGTCGTTTATCTTATCTTTTTTTCTTAAACCGTTTAGTATATTACTAGTCATATTATTTGCCAGAAATGGATATATTAAAATCCCCCAAACCAAGTGGGGGACTAATTGGTTTTATTCCGTCTCTCATCATTATTAATATCATTATTTTTCCGCCACGTTTCTCAAAAATTATAGGACCAAAATTAATGAAACTTTAAACAAGTGTTCATCATGGTAAGGGGATGTGCAAATGACCTTTCATTTTCCAATCGGTCGAAATTAAATATTGGTTGATTTTGCTCACATTCGTCATATAGGTGTATTTTTGCATCTTTAAGACAATGGGGGCAGTTTGGGGAACTTCTGTAATGGTCCTCATTACAATTAGTACTTGTTAATATTGCATTCGTAAAAGATTTCAGCCAGGGCAATCATTAGAGATATAAAAGTTCGAGGTTACTGGGTAAGTTATGTATAGGCCAAATGAAAGCATGTATGTTTCTACCCCCGACCCTAAGTTTTATCTCTCTCGAACGCACTCCGTCCACTGTTGGGATAACGTATTAACAGGATGCAAACAAATTGGTGGACAAACAAACAAGGCAACTAAAGATATACCCTCTCTACTTTATAGGCAGGTATTCCGTCTTTGCGTATTGCAGAGTTATCTTCTCTTGGGAGCAGGTATTGATTGTTACGTCATTGGTTTGTGCGGGGAAATTACGTCGTTTTCTCAAAAATTGATGACGTTACTCTCACAAACAAGTGACGCAACAATCAATACCTGCTCCAAAGAGAAGATAACTCTGCAATACGCAAAGACGGAATAAAAACAAACATGAATTGTTACAACTATTGTTATTTAAAAGACCTTAAAAATATATTCGTTGATTTTTGTAATTTTTTAAGTTAGCCCCCCTCCCCACTCCTAAAAACAACAAGAGGTCCATTGGACCTGTATCGCTCACCTAGTTTTATATGTCATTACAACTGAATGCATTAGTACATCTGTATATGAAATTTCCTCAAAACCAGACAAGATCTATGTTCTAACCCAACTGGGACCACAATATCTGACTTTCAACTAATCAGGGGCCTCCATTGAGTTGCCATGTTAACAGATTTTGAAATAAGTAATATTTTATATTACAGGGTGTAATTAGACAGTACTTTAATTTTCATTCAACTATAAGCTTTTATAAACCTAGAAACCAATTTTTAACAATTTATGAAAACTACTCCATAGAATATGATAATTTGTTTGTTTGTTTGATTTTGTTTAACGTCCTATTAACAGCTAAGGTCATTTAAGGAAGGCCTCCCCTGTGTGCAAGATGCATGCGTGTAATGTATGTGTGTGTATTTGGGGAGGCTGCGATATGTTGGTGTTTGTCTCCTTGTGATAGCGCGATCTAGCTGTACCATTTCTTAGGATTGCAGGGGTCAAATCAACCTCATTCAATTAATAAATATGCTTGTTCTTCTTCAATTATGTTTTGACCAAATTTTGTACAATCCACTCAGGCAATTCGGGGGTATTAGCGTCTTAAAGCAAAATATTAGATAATTTTCCTCTTTGCGGCCCGACCTCAGGGGTCGAACTAACCTCATTTATTTAAGAAATGATTGCCCTCCCCTACTGATGCTTCAGACTTAATTTTCCCCTTTGGGGCCCGGCCTTCCTAGCCCCAGGGGTCGAACCAGCCTCATTTATTTAGGAAATGATTGCCCTCCCCCAATGAAGTTTCTGAGCAAATTTGGTTAAAATCGTCTGTCGTTTAGGAGTAGTGTTTTAAACTAATGTGATGCTTCAAACTAAATTTGGTTGAAATCCACTCTGGAGCTACGAAGGAGATGCGTTTAAAAGCAAATTTAGCTAAGTTCCTCTTCAGGGTCTCGCCCCCCTGGCCTCAGGGATTGAACCAACCTCATTTATGTAGGAAATGATTGCCCTCCCCTAGTGATGCTTCAGACTTAATTTGGTTGAAATCCTCTGTGGTGTTACGAAGGAGATGTGTTTCAAAGCAAATTTAGCTAAGTTCCCCTTCAGGGTCCCGCCCCCCTAGCCTCAGTGTTCGAACCAACCTCATTTATTCAAGAAATAATTGCACGTCCCTACTGATGCTTCAGTCCATATTTGGTTGAAATCCTCTTTTGCGTTTAGGAGGAGATAGGTTTTAAAGAAAAAGTTGACGACGGTGGCTGTGCCACTGCATAAGCTCACTATACAATGTAGCTATGGTCCTACGAACCAGGTGAGCTAAAAAAAGAAATTAAATAAATTCTGACCGACCTACTCTATTTTTTTCAGTCATGTTATCTGAAACATTCCTATTTTGTATTGCCTTATATCTATGAATGTGAGTACTCTTCTATTGCCAGTTGTTGTATGATGCCATGGATTTAATCTCCTTTGTTAATGGTTGTTAAATGAAACATATAAAAACTTGTAATAATGAAAACGTTTTATTCCCAACTTATCAAAATGAATGCCAAATCGCAATTTACACAACCAACATGGATCAAGTTATTTTCAGGATCATGTGATTTATTTTCAAATAGTTATTTTAAAATTTCTACATTGTACTTCACACATCACTCACAGGGCAGTAGTGTTGATAACAATGCAATGTGTATCGTGACACATATCATATCATAAGCATCCTACTGTGAGGAATGTCGTACCGTGAAGTATGCTTGTCATTGCAGCCCTAGTGTCTATAACGGGTAAACCTCTGTTTGGTCTATAAATGATTAACTCCTGTGGTGACTCTAACTAGCTAAATTGTATAGGGTTTACAACTAGTTAACTCCAGAGACTTCTAGTGTTAACTCCTGTGGCAGCCATAACTAACTAGTTAACTTGAGTGACGTTTTCGGTAAACTCATGCGGTGATTCTAACTAGTTAACCTCTGTAGATTCTGTAACTGGTTAGCTCCATTGATATCTAGTGTTAACTCCTGTGGCATAAATAGCTAGTTAACTTGAGTGATAATTAGTTAACCTCTGTGGGGTCTATAACTAGTTAGCTCCACTGATATCTAGTGTTAACTCCTGTGGTGACTTTAACTAGTTAACTTGAGTGATAATTAGTTAACCTCTGTTGGGGCCTATAACTGGTTAGCTCCAATGATATCTAGTGTTAACTCCTGTGGCGTCCATAACTAGTTAACTTGAGTGACGTTTTCGGTAAACTCATGCGGTGATTCTAACTAGTTAACCTCTGGTGGGGTTTATAATTGGTTAGCTCCAGTGATATCTAGTGTTAACTCCTGTGGTGACTTTAATTAGTTAACCTCTGCTGGGGTCTATAACTGGTTAGCTCCAGTGATATCTAGCGTTAACTCCTGTGGTGACTTTAATTAGTTAACCTCTGTTGGGGTCTATAACTGGTTAGCTCCAGTGATATCTAGTGTTAACTCCTGTGGTGACTTTATCTAGTTAACCTCTGTTGGGGTCTATAACTGGTTTGCTCTAGTATTATCTAGTGTTAACTCCTGTGGCGTCCATAGCTAATTATCTCCTGTCGTATTCACTGCTGATCTTGCCTTTTCCTTAGCTATCTGTCTGGCCAGATATCGTGCTTTAGCATCATTGAGGGTTTTGTCTGTAGTATGTCTGGTATACTTTGATTTATTTTCTGAATCCTTTGTAGACTTTTCTGATTTTCCCGATTGTTCTTCAGTGTTTTTCTCCGGAAGTAAAACTACTTTTTCTTCCTGCTGTTTTGAAGATCCTTCATTTGAACCTGATAATTTGTCTTTAGATTTAGATTTTCTATCCCTAGACCTTGACCGTTTCAATGATTTACTTATTCTATCCCTGGATGATGAACGATGTTTCTTGTCCTTATGTGAATGTCGGTCATTTGACCTTGACCTTCGTGAGTGTCTGTGCTTACTGTCACTACTTCGATTCATATCTTTTTCTCTGTGTGATCTATTTGGTGACCTTGAACTTCTTCTTTCTCTAGACCTTGATCTTTTTCTTTTCTCTGATGACCTCTTCATCCTGTCTGGTGACCTTGAACTTTGGTTCCTGCCCTTTTCATACCTTTTTTCTGCTTGTTCTGGATCAGAGGAGTCATCAGAAGAATCGTTTGAGGAATTGCGTTTGGCTCTGTTTGTAGTTGCACTGAAAAAAAAATCAGATTTATGATGAATAATTGCAACCAAAACAAGGAGCCCAAGAGACATATATTGCTTACTTGGGTATGCAAGCAATAATTGTTAAAATTCTCATTAAATGTAATATTGTGAATATTTCTTCATTCTGGGCTCCATCTGTCTTGTCTAAAGATGTCACAGCAAAGTTTGTTGAGATTAATATACTGTGAAACCCCTAATTTTTGTGGGGTTTTAATTTTGTTGATTTTGTGGGTAATCGTTATCCACATGAATTCATAGGTCCGCGAAGTTATTACAAGTTTGATATAAAGCCATTTTCAGTTTGAGTGGGTACTTGTAAACCATGAATTCATGTTCTCACAAAATGTTTTTATTTTTATTTTGGAGGAGGTGGGGGTTTGGGGGGCCACAAAAATTTGGGACCCAAGAACATATCTGATTTCACAGTAGTTTAATTTTATGCTCATGTCTTCTTTCTTTTCTGCATGCCTAGATCAAGAATGCCTACATGATTACAGGGTAGAGATCTCAACAATGAAATATTTCTAAGTTATGACCCAAGGATGAAATCATCAAGGGCAAGCAGGGCCCAAGAAGATCATGTATAGTATGTCATGCCCAGCAACTGTAAATGCTGTAATAGGATCAGGATTGTGACCATTTCCATGTTATGATTCAGGGACTGAGTTTCTAAGGGTGGGTCCAGACTCCAAAGCCTATCCTGATAGTAGGATTGTTTACATCTCTTCATGTCCAACAAATGTATTTCTACCACAATACGCTGTGTTATTCCACTCTCAGATCATTGTATAAACATGCTGACTGTTAGATAAATATGAGTTATATACCACAGGTGGTATATGACCTACACAAGTTTTGATTGGTCGAAAAGATGAACTTTGACCGGGGCGACTTTTTCCAAGCGCTTTTTGCCACAATCTGTTTTGTTTACGTCGTCTGCTGTCAACATTCGACAAATGTTGGTGACTTTGTGAGGTTATGCAGAAAAGGGTTTATTAAGGCAATATTAAAAGAAGATGATACTTAAAGATTTGATCGCTAGTTTCAGGCAAAACAGCTGCAGACGCTCAATATCGTTTCGACGTCACACCGTCGCGTGTCCAGGTCGTGAAACCAAAACAAGATCTGTCACAGTGTCGGAAAATATTTCGTTCTCCCAATGTCCCGTTATCGCTATTTGGACGGTCTGACTATGGCTGAACTGTCACTATAAACGTCAACCATAGCACCGTCACGAAGAAACGTAGGCCTATGGTTTTGGACATTAACAGCGACAAGTTCGTCTTCGTCACTTGGCGGGAGGCAGACTTCGTACGATATGCTTACGCGCAAATAGTCTGTGGTTAATTTATATAAATTAATGCAATACTGCTATTACCAATATTTAAAGTCGTTCATCTATTATATTTTTTCATGAAGTCGTTGCCGAAGCATTAATTTTGACAATTATTAGATTTGTAAAAACAAAAAGACATTTTTGAATATTAATGAGTGACTTTTTACATATGGGTCATATCACTACGCCAGCCTTGTCAACAAACACATGTGCGTATGTTATTTCCGACTGATCATGAGATTATGGTAGAAACAGATCACACGACTCGTGGTTGTGGAGTATGGTATTTATTTCAATCTCGTTAGTTAATTTTCAAAAGTTACAGAAAGATACTCGCTAAAGCTGGTGTTTTTTGTAACTTTTGAAAATTAACTAACTCGAGTGAAATAAATACCATATTCAACAACCACTCGTTGTGTAACCTCTATATATCTTTATGGAGTAAGGATCTTGACAGTTTCCATTATATGATTTGGGGAATAAGTCCCAAAATGTGGGGCCAGAACCTGGAACTAATCCAAATATTAGTGGTTTATTTGTCTCAAAATGTAGGGGAGATAACTGTTACTCTGTGACGTCATACAACATACATTACTACCACTGTTGGTAAGAATGTAAGGGAGAGCACTCTTACTCTGCTATGTCATGTTACAAATCTACATGAAGTTCAATAAGGGGAGACCACTCAAGCCCCCTACTTGAATCACTTTGAGTCAAAACTTGGAGGCTTTTTTTTTTTTTTACTGGTTTACAAAATAGTAGTTCACAGTCAGGGTACAGTGTCTAGGTCATTACAGTAATAACACAATTATCAAACACTATACAGCATTACCTTTTTTCAGGTGATTCCGGTTCTGTTTTCACGCGACTAGTGTCTACTTCAGTTTCAGGTTCTGTTTTCACACTGAAAAGATCATAACAGTAACATTATGGAATAAATAAATATATATAATTACAAATAATACAGTGGTTATTCATATGCCAGGTAACTAATTTAAATGATCTAGTATTTGTTTATAATTCACAATTATCACACCCTACACAGCATGACATTTTTTGAGATCTATTGAAATTTCTAATGGTAAAGTTTTGAGATCTATTGCACTTCATAGATCTATACTTTCAATTGGCACAGTAATCATTTAACAAGAGGCCCAGGGGCCTTAATAGCTCACCTAGTATTTTATTTTTCAATTTAAAACCTGCTGAGTACCATTCAGGTTTATCAAAGGAGTACAAGTAACAAAGTTGCATCTTCCATTTATAAATATTCAATTCCCTTTGCCCAAAGATTCTCTAAAACAAGTTTGGTTAGGTTAAAATCCCTTCAACGGTACAGAAGGAGAAGGATCTTTAATGTTTTCCTCTATTTCCCCTAATGGGCCCCACTAATCTGCCCCAAAGAAGGGGAATCCACACACCTCAGTTTAAACAAAATTGATTCTTTTCTCCCTAAGCATGCTTCAGACTGCATTTGGTTTAAATCCCTTCACTTGTATAGTAGGAGAAAAAAAATCCTCTATTTCCCCTATTGGGCCCCGCTCCTATGCCGCCAGAAGGCCCACACCCTCCGTTTATACAAACTTGAGTCTCCTTTGTCCAAAGATGCTCTAGGACAAATTTGGTCAAAATCCTTCAATTGGTTGAGGAGAAGATTTTTAAAGATTTACCTATTTTCCCCTATTTGGCCCCGTCCCTCTGCCCCCAGGGGGACCATACCCTCCGTTCATACAAAACTGAGAACCCTTTGGCCAATGATGCTCCAGACCAAATTTGGTCAAAATCCCTTCATCGGTACAAAAGGAGAAGGATATTTGATGTTTTCCTCTATTTCCCCTAATGGGCCCCACCCATCTGCCCTTAGAAGGAGGCCCACACACCTCAGTTTATACAAAATTGATTCTTTTGTCCCTAATCATGCTTCAGACTGCATTTGGTTAAAATCCCTTCACTTGTATAGCAGGAGAAAAAAAATCCTCTATTTCCCCTATTGGGCCCCGCCCCTCCGCCCCCAGAGGGGCCACACCCTCCGTTTATACAAACTTGAGTCTCCTTTGTCCAAAGATGCTCTAGGACAAATTTGGTCAAAATCCTTCTATTGGTTGAGAAGAAGAAGATTTTTAAAGATTTACCTATTTTCCCCCTATTTGGCCCCGCCCCTCTGCCCCCAGGGGGGTTATACCCTCCGTTTATACAAAACTGAGAACCCTTTGGCCAATGATGCTCCTGACCAAATTTGGTCAAAATCCTCTGAGCCATTCAGGACAAGTAGCATTTTAATGGAAAAAGTTGACGGACGCCGGACGCTGCACCATGGGATAAGCTCACCTGGCCCGAAGGGGCCAGGTGAGCTAAAAATGATTTGTGATTTAAAGATATTTATAATTGTGAACTATAACTTAACTTCTTCCTGACAACTATAATGACAATAGCAGAAGCCGATTAGTTAATTGCTCCACAATTGCACTACCGTCATCAGTCAACTTTAGTGTACGTACTCTGTCCCATTGTGGATGCTTTCTCCTGTTTTCTCATTCAGTAAATAACGGTAAAACCCGCTCATATCCTTCTGTTTCTTCACATCCAGCAGTTCTGTGGGAGGATAAAAACTGGTTAATGTAGAGCTCTTTAACATCGCAGTGAAAAACTTCAGCAATGTTGAACGTAGATCAAACACAAGGTGCAGTGAGGTAGTTTTTACTTATCTTGGGCTACATCACTTAATTCTCTTGATTTTATTATTGTGTTCATACTGGCAAAACACTTGCAGGAGTTTACAATTAATGTTTAAAATCATAGTGAAAACAAACCCCCCAAAAATATAGCTGTTACACAGTGACAGTTAGGACGGCGTTAAAATTACTTTGCAATGAGTTAGGACGGCGTTAAAATTACTTTGCAATGAGTTACTTCCCTTTAAAAGAAAACAATTCATTTACATTGCTACATGTTGTATGATTATTGCATGAAAACTGACATTTTTGTATTTGTAAAATGTAATGTTAAATATTTTAAGAATGAGACTGTACAACATAGATTTAGATTTTGAAATTATAATTGTACATGCATGTTTATTGTTAAGGGAAGGGCAACTTTTGAATCTAATACTTATTAAGTTTTTTCCTAGGATATAATTGATATACTTAACTTTTCTAATATCAGTTGCTAACAGACTAATTCTTTAACTCAATGACAACTTAAAGAAGATTTGCCCAGGGAGTCTTAATAGTAAAAGTAAAACACTCTATCCTCTCAAACCAGCTGTCATAGCCCCACCAAACTTGGAGATGATGATGCTACTGCTAAGTTTGAGTATATGTCATGCCTGTACATTATACTAACCTTCCATGGCCGCTTCTCTCCTTTCCCTTTCTGCTTCTTTCTCCATTTCTTGCAGCTTCTCTTTGTACTTGCCCGTGACAAATACTTCCTTGTCGTCAAACTCCCCTCCTTCTGTCTCTCTCTCCTTCTGTATCTTTTTCTCCTGAACCTTTTCCTGCTCAAGCTTGCGTTTCTCTGCAGCCTTCATTAAGTTAGTGATATACTTCGGCTAAAATGATTTTTAAAACAAATTTACAAATACATGCATTTAACAATGTGAAATGTATACAAGATCATAAAACCTGCTAATATATACACCGACATATTATGCACACTTTATTGATTTAAATATGAAACTGACAAATATTTCACAATATAAGTATTTCAATAATTTCAAATAACATTTGAATATCAAATAAAGAAAACACACCGATCATCATCAGATTTGTGTCATTTTAAAGGAAATATGTATAGTAATAAGTAATTTATATACTTCAGCAATACATGTGTAGACTACAGTATTAAACTTCATATTTCTGTGTTATGAAAGTGTATAGTGAAAACATTCACTGATCACAATGTCAATAGACTATAATACTGTCATATTTAACATTGCTCTGTTTACCACCTAGGACCAACAGAGGGTAATATGAAGAGACCCTAAATATATATTCTGTTCTCTGGTTGACCCCTGACCTTGTTATCCTTTTTGGCCTTGGCAGCCTCTTCAGTTGCTGCTTTTGTGTTCTGCATGGAATCATAGATCTTGTCGTACTCGTAGACGTTAGGGTCTTGCTCCATAGCCTGATCTATGGCTAACTGGGTCTGGAAATATCATTTAATAACATTATATGTTTATTGTGTCCTATCAAAATGTAATGGTATACAATTATGGACTTCAGGTGAGGTCTATCCCTGATTTACCACCTGGTCTGAACAATATTCACAGAGGCCGAAGGCCGAGGTGAATATTGTTCAGACCAGGTCCGTAAATCAGGGATAGACCGAAACTGAAGTCCACAATTGTTTTATTATATGACATTTTACGATAAGATTAATAATTGTTCATGGCATAAGTACATGGATGGCATGGACCATTTTGGAATCACAGAGTATAGGACTTCAAATACAAAATAACATACACAAAAACTGAATTTCAGATTCAATGCATGTGATATTTAATTTCAAGTAAATATTATTTGAACAATTGACATCATCAATATTAACAGTTCAGAAGTTGATGAGATAATGCATTTGTATTTGAATTCAGTATTGTGAATGGTAACAGATTTACAGACTGGCTGGGAAATTACCTCGGCCTATTTTTAGCAGCAGTCTGTAACACTTTTCTATTTCTAGGTCCAGGTCTGTAACACTTTTCTATTTATAGAACGAGGTATGTAACATATTTACAGACTCGTCATGTGACGTCACTCCTCCAATCAGGGCTGGGAATTAGCACCAGTCATATAATAATTGATGTTATTGACCAATGCTTTACATGTATATAATACCATGTCTAGTCAGCTTCTGCTGAGTATATGTATATCTTTTATTAAAAAATATAACAATATAGAAAAATGATTGAACTCTGAAGTGACATTGTCATCACAATTCAAATCGCCTTCACCAACACAGCTGGATCATTTGATAGAATGTGTACAACAATTATACAACTATGATATCTAATGCTTAATATAACTGCACTCTGAACCATTTTAATGAGATTTTTAGGCTAATTACTTATCCAAGCGCATCCTGCTAACTTAATAAAGGATAATAATATGTATACACTGATATCTTAATTAAAATTCCAATTCTCACTGATGAAATGTCTGAAGCACGATACAGTAACATTTTTTGCAAAATATACGTGATTTACACAATTCTTAAGTAAAATGGAATTGAATATGTGTTTAACTGTTTATCATACCTGTCTCTTAACCTTTGACTTCTGTGCCTCTTTGTTGATTGTGGCATTGACCCTAGCCATACCTGGCAAGTCCTGAAATAAAGTCACCAGTCAGTATAAACACAGATATGTAACTCGTGTAAGTGGAAAATGAACGTCATAAAAAATATCTGTATGAACATGATGCATGTTAAAGGAGAATTCAGATATTGAAAGTAAGACAGGTATTATATAATACATTGGATATTAAATGTTAAACATATTCCCATATATATCAGGAAGATGGCGTCTATATATGGTGCAGCTATAACATTGCTTGTTTTGTAAACCAAGAAACAAGCTGGCTTGGTTTATCATGATCAAAATGGGCAATAACTGACTGGTACGATCTCAACCCTATTACACTTGGTATTAAACAAAGCTCACATCATCACTGTCATCATCAAAAACGTTTGTAGTCTTCACAGCTGATTTCTTGTTCTTCGGGAGGAACAAACCATACCTGAAATGAATAAAAACCTTTGAAATCAAAGGATTCAGTAACATCTGATCTTTCTGTAACAGCTGTACATGTATAACCTGATAATACTAAACAAAAATATAAACACTATCATCAATTTGTATGAGACGAAGCAATCATGTACAGTTCTTCAAATGTTAAACCTGAGTACAATGTGTCTTAGATGCAGTGGTGTAGGCAGAGGAGACACCAGTAAATTACAGTGCAGTTCAACAACAAGCCACGCAACACCCGACACCAAAACGAACAGCGGACGAAATCAAGAAAATACTATGTGGATCAGTGTGATTTAGAACCCAACAATATGATGATCATTGTATTTTTCCATAAAGAAATAAACAAAACATTGTAAACTTTCGGATAAATATACTCCTGTGACAAAGAACACCATAAACTGTACCACAACAAATATGGTATAATACAGGTGCTTACTTTTTGTTTGTGTCCGCCATGTTTCAGATTTGCAGAAAATATCAATCTGAAATCTGATTGGTTGATATTAAATTTGGAAAGGTGGGCGTGGCGGTACGAATCTGAATGTGAAATCGGGATCACATGGAATGGAACTTGGGGATCCTTATGCCGTTCTGAAGAATCAGAAAATTGGTAAAGTTACAAATGTTCCTGACGTGTTTACTATTAACGTTAACAGTGTCGTTTACATATTTTTGAACTGCCATACGATAGTATATCTATCAAAGCCCGTACGCACGTACGTAGTACAATAATAGTTTCATATCTAACTACAATATTGCCCTGTTAGTTTGACTGCAGTATGTGGTGTGGTAATATTTTTGTTACACTGCTACGATATAAAAAAAAATCACATATATTTGGCTATCAAACTAGCTAGCCAGTTATAATGAATGCTAAATATTTGGCAAAGTTTTGAGTGTAATAAATATATATCATGTTGCACCGCAGTCAATGCAGTGAAAACTGTCAACTTTCAGTATGACACGAAAGCACTTTTGCTCAAAAGCATTAGTTGAAGAAATTGTATTGGCTTTAATTAAAATTGTTGAGTTTTAAAAGAGAAGTTTTTATTACCCTCAATAGCTAATTTGTTTGTGTTTAATTCATTGAAACACAATTGTATAGTAAGTGCATATGAGTAGTGAAATTACAAAAATGACAAATACGTTGTTTTCATAGTAGGCCAGCAGGTCTGATTTGAAGCTATTTCAAGAGAGAGAAAAAGAACAATATTACTATTTCTCACATTTAAAATAATCTAAACGAAACTTAAAAGCTGATAGCATTCCCTTTTGTGTGGTTGAGCACCACAAACTAACAATGCCACTTTGGTTATGATATGTATTGAAAACTGTCAAAAATTAGTACTGCTGATGAAAACCTCTACTCAAGTCATTACTGACCGAAAAATGTCAGTCCACGATTTTGACCAAAAAAGTTATTATTTGTATGAGTTTTAACCAAGTATTTTCAAAATGTCTAAAATGTGCATAACTTAGTCGAGGTATTAATTAAGTTAATATAAGCTCTGATATAAAATCTAAAATGGCTGTCACCACCGGACTGAAATGTAATTTTGGCTTAACAAGCTTGGTAGAAACATACATGAAATGTGATTTGATCCTCATATCATATATTGCAAAATAGTAACAAATTAATATGTAATTTTGGCTTAACAAGCTTGGTAGAAACATATATGAAATGTGCTTTGAATCTCAAAACATATATTGCAAAAAAATAGTAACAAAGTATCAAAATAAATACTTTATAGTATATCTGCGGTCATATCTTGTGTACTCAGTAAGGATTTATTGGAATACTGGCTGTATTGTTATTATTTATATTTAGGAACCGCTGTCCAGTGCTTTTATTTGATTAAATACATCTTTTTTCTCAGACAGGGTTCATATACTGAATAAGATATACTTTATTTATTTTACAACAATTATATAAAAAAAAACATTTTCCAACTTATATTAGTCACTTTTGTTGGCCCGTAAGTTAGCGCGCAGGGGTCTAAATGTGGGAAGAAACCGGAGTACCCGGAGTTAACCCCCGTAGTCGGACAGGTAACCTCCGATTGGGGAATCGAACACCAGCCGACTTGGTAAAAGGCGAGTGCGCTATCCACTGCGCCACCTGACCACGTACCAAGGGTCTACCTCCACTTTTGTGTGAATATGGGCTGGAGCTCGAGGCTGCATGTGTTCTGATGGTCATTGGCCCTAACAGCTGCGATATGTGACCAGGAAATCACGTGTTCATTAAATTGTTAGGGATATGGAGGAGTGCCTAACACTGCTGTATAGCTAGATCAGAAATGGACGATAATGCCCGAAAATGTCTGAAATACAAGATGGCTGCCACCACCATCGGGTTGATATGTATATGTATTTTTGAATATCCTTTTAACAAAACAAGGTAGAAAATTGAATAAAGTGGGCTTTTGTAGGGTTTCATGTATGAGGAATATAAATGCAAGACCACACACTTGTGTTTTTCTAACGAATCAGAAAGCACTCATTTATTGCGCGGACGAATAAATGAGTGCTTTCTGATTCGTTAGAAAAACACACAAGTGCGTGGTCTTGGATTTATATTCCTCATACATGAGGTAGAGATCGATACAAAGATTTCATAAACTTTGATATTTTTTTTGCAAATACCGGGAACTTCTCAGTTCACCATGACAAGGGGATTCTCATAAAAGTTCCGGCTAGTAGGTAAATACAACATTCCGTATTGCACATGTGCAATACAGAACGCTGTATGTCATGGTCTGAAAATTGCTTGTATTACTATAACAAGATTCTTCAGTTTTGAAATAATAGTTGATGAGTTTACTTCAGACTTATATATATATATATGTGTTGCAAAAGTTGTTGTGTATTTAGATACATTTTAACTAACCGATTTGCATTCAAATCGCATATTCAGTCCTTCTTCGTTGTGAAAAGGTAGACTAGATTTGCATACATTGGCATAAGTAAAGTCAACAGCAGAGTTCCGGCAGTTGTTGGTATGATTCCTGCAGGTACATGACTCTACTGGTGCAGTGTTGGTTAAGGTACCCTATCGTATATCCATATGATATCCTCGTAAGTTACCGATATAGATGACAAAATAAAAGTATCCGTGACACTTAGTGAACATGGATCTATATCCCATTTCGGTCACTGGAGGAAGATCAGGATGTGGTAAGTGTGCGTGGTTTCTTACCATTACTTGAAAGTATATGGACGCATGATTTATACACTTTGCTACATCTGAAATCGGTGACAAAGTCTATTTTCTATTGTAAAATATACACTGTTTGTATCATATTTCAGTATGCCATACCTCTAACAGGTGTGTTTCTCTGTCGATATATAGAGAAGCCATTGACATGTCAATGAAGATCAGTGTTATGTTGACAAACACCTGTCAAGCTGTTTTATCACTTTGGTCACTGAACTGAGACGCGCTATTGCAGCCAGTGACGGTAAGAAAGGAAAGTATTGTTAATTCTATGTACTTGGAAGTTCTTTTGAGTCCTCGACGTCCAAGCATTTGTGAAGAGATGGGTTCATGCCATTTTGTGCCAAATAATGCGAAGTAGAAGACTCATGTCCGTATTACACAGCGGCACGACACAACTCTTGTTTCCATATAAGCGTCGATGCAGTGCAAAATTTCCAAATGCATGAAATTTGCTTTATCAAGTAAACGTCACTGGCTGCAATAGTGCGTCACAGTTCAGCAATCAAACAAATAAAACAACCTAGCAGTGGCGCTCAAGCAACAATACACTTTCCTTATTGGCATCGGCAAGGGTCCTCTCACTGGAGCGAAAAATAAGAGAAACATATCTGGCAGATGCATGTGTCAATGAAGGTGCCAAGGTTTCCTGTAGGGTGTTAATGTGTTGCACAAAGAACGTTTCTACCAGCATCAAACGCAGTACAATTCAAATAAGTCGTTAAAACTATCAAAGTTAGTGTCCGAAACTAAACGCAATTTCTATGTACTATATCCTGATTTTGTTCCATTGACCGGAAGAGGATGGATACAATTGGTTGTTAAGTTGGTGCCGCGGTCACTCTCTTTGTTACCGAAAGCTTCTCGTGAGATCAACTCATAGTTGTACGAAGGGTTACCCAACCAACCCTGCAGTTACAGGAAAGTAAGTATGAAGTGCATTAAGGCGAGATGACTTGAATATAATTCATATGTGCACTCTGTCCTTATGACGATTGACTGTAGATAACGATATCAAAGATTTTCGACATCTTTTATTTCCAAACTTCAGTTAGCATTGGGTTTCCCACACATATACAAATGTACAAAAACATGCAAATACACAATACAATCTAACTTTACCTTTTTAAGTCAAAATATATATGCAAGCATACATAAGTTCGGTTGTTGCGGCCATTTTTATTGCTCGATTTTCAGGCATTTTAGTCATATTTAAGCTAGAAATACAGTAGATTTGAGTTTTGTGCCCCTTCGTACCATTCAAAGCATTGCATGCTAATCATTAACACGATTTATGGTGTACACATATGAGTCGTATAGAGTTGTTGGTAGAGCATCAATCTGTTAACCACGAGGTGCTAGGTTCGAATTCCGCAGACCACGGGATGTGGTTTTGTCAATGAACACGACATCTAACCTTGTTGCTCACTCCACTTGCTATAGTGGTGTTGCTCACTCCACTTGCTATAGTGGTGTACTAATGTCACACATGTAATAGTCATGCTTGGGTATTACAGACGTGTGATAGTATTTATAGTATTCAGAGTCAACGAGCCGTTTGAATTATGGACCAATAACTTAACACATACAAAACCTCCAGCGTACGCTTACACATTGCAATTTTCTGTGGAGGTAGGGCAAATATCTGACGTCCAAATACAAGTACCGTTTAAAGACTCTTGGACGTCCCACCTAAGAATGAAAGGAAGGTTTGGCGTATGTAACCTATATTAACACAAGACAGTGGATCTAATATATATTGAAGACTGCTACAGCCAGTAGATCTCTGAATAGTGTCCAAACCATGTACATTAAATACAGAAAGGACTGTATATAACGTTATAGTGGCATTATATATGTTCAGACAAAACTAAAGTCGAAAACGTCAATTCCATGTTTTATATTTTTTAGGGGTTTTTCACCTTTTTATTTCAAAACATAATATGACAGTGGATTGTTCATTTATTCATTGAACTAAATATGTATCTAACTATTTATTTATGTATACTCTTTGTATTGATTTACACTCCGCGACATTGTCGCAGAAAACCAACCTATATGCTTCTTATTTAACATGCGCTGTGCTCTATCCTGCAGGCCTGACTGTTGGCGTGTCGCTCTGTCTGTTTGTGCTATACGTCGTGGTCGCTGTTGCTGTCTACAAGCCTGTCAGAGAGAGGCAGCCACGCCCATATGACGCCAATGATGTTGCCATGTGACATCAAGGAAGCACACACCTGACTGGCCATTATAAAAACTGCAATCCTTCTTAATGGCGAGGTTATTACATTACAATCTCAGTGTCGACTTGCTCGTCACATTTGTTTTGTTTTCATCTGGGACATAGTATGACCATTCTTTTTATTCATTATATGATGGTATAAACAGGATTGAACTTTTGCATCAGCTTTGACAATCCAAACATAATTGACATTATGCAGTGATGATTTGTTGATTCTGTAACGGACCATTTGTCACTGGTGTGTGACAGTAGTGATTGTCCTGACTCGCCCTGTCTCGGTTGCCAGTATATCTGTGTAGCGTATGTAACTATGATTACCTGGTATCAACCCTTATGAAACAGATATTGTTTACATTAACCAGGTTGATATTGACTTACTCAAAAAGTGCGTAGCACTTAATGATGACACTAGATGGAAAGTTCAGTATCTAGAACCATTGTTGCAGTATCTAGAACCGTTTTTTATGTAGATAATCGTGTATGATAAGCTGACTTTCTTAATCGTTTTGGAAATTGAAAAAAAAAACTTTCATTATTTTAGTTACAACAAATTCAACTGATTAAACCTTTGCTTAAGGTCAACTTGTTGTAAAACTTGCATTCTTTAAACAACCAAAGTTTTTAAAACACTAGGGGAGTACTAGGAAAGAAGGAATGCAGTGTCCATGTGCAGTTTGATTTGAAATCTATTAAAGTTGATTAACAGATTTAATGAACTAGTCATATATATTAGACCTGGTAGTTGCAGGGTATAATACATGGCATTCATTCTCTTTTGGATGCGATGAATCCGTATTCCTTCAAATATCATTAAAATCTTCAATAGGTTTTGAAAATGATCATTGTACATGCTTCACCTACCTCGTAGGACGCTAAACAAAAATAACCAAACCTCGTTAGACCTACATGTATTTAAATTGTTAGCCTAACCACCCTGAAATAAACCGTGGACGTGAGAAGGCTACTACTTGTTATGGTTTTGTATCGCTCTACTACAATAACATGTGGGTTCTAACAAGGTTTGTGAAGCAGCATCATTGATGATATGTAGAACCAGTACAATGATATTTTTGGGACTTTGTACTATTTAAAAAAAAACATCGCGCGTCCACGCTACATCGACCCAATAAACCTCCGGCGTTAGCATTATTATATATCTCATCCAAAATTTTGCTAAACATAGTTTTGGAAAGGGTGTTCATATATAGGCATAGCCTGATCTAATTCACATATCCAAAGTCAATCAAATCTGTTGAAAAAACTCTCGAAATTGTCAGCGTCCGTTTGACCACAACTGTAATACTGTTAATGTTCGTCTTTAAACAAATGACTCTACATAATTTATTTTATTAGAGAAAAAACGAAGAAGAGATTACCTTCGTGTCAATAAAACACCCTAATTCAAACAAAAAATCAAACTCAAAATCGATTATTAAACTACGGCAGAACATGAACAAATGAATGAAGAACTGTACCGCGTGCTTCGGAATGTTATCTTCTGCTCCATTGACAACACCTGTCGTGTAAATTTAGGTCAATGACCACGAAATAAAAAAGCACACTAATAAACACAATCAAGGAGAAAGACCGTCATAACTACACAAAGGACAACATGATTTCCGATGAGATAATGACGGAGACCACTTGTCCATGGCCTTCATTAACCGGCATCTTCGAAAATCCTGTGTTATTAGTTTGACCATCCGCAGTGGACACCTATCACGGAAATCATGACATTCGGAGGAAGTTCTTGGATGCCAAATCAACTACGGCATGTTAACACCGTAGGGTAGGGGACGGTTGGAATGTCAGAATTGTCACGCTTCTGTACATATCATCTCCATAATATATCCCAAGCGAGATTTCCATTTAAGATGAGCTACATGACACAATCTTGATAATATGCCTCCTTTGAAACTTGTCACGATAATATTTATTTACTTTCATATTTTTTTTATATTCCAAAGCGGGTGCGACACTGCTAAAGTTGTTTCGAATTCTTTTGCTATCAGTAGGAAGAAGACCGCAAATTCAAAATGTAAAGGAACATTTTAACCCACCCGCTTCATTTTATTGTTTTTCTTTATTTCCTTTAAATAAGTTGTTATTGAAGAGAGCATTTATGGCAGAATATTCACTGGTTACGGGTAAGATTGTATTATGGATGTGCTACTTAGTATTCAATACATGAATACATTATAAAAATGTTCATATTGATATATGGCTTCTAATTCATATAAACATAGTTCATAATATCCTCAGTACAGTGACTATTAAAACAACAAGTCAAACATCGTTTTATGAGCGACTCCCAAATGGCTGATAAACCTAACCACTACATAAGCCGCAGCCACCTCGCAAGCCTCTCTATTGACTGTCAATATGGAATAGAATACATTTCATCACGTTAGTACACTGGGGCGGGGATCGATCGCCATTACCTGTGGATGATCAGTGAGCACCCAGAGCAGTTCCCGATGGAAATATGGCAGAGAAATTTAAAAGGCATCGCCATTTTTCGATATGAAAATGTTATACGTTCTCACCTGACCATTGTGGGATCATTTTCAGTATTGATTGTCGGATTCATTATGACAGTACTTTGCATACTTATTATAATGACATACAAAGTCACTATAGTTCTAGGTTATTGAACGTGTGTGTGTTTTATCCTTAGTCATTATGATTTAACAGACCGCTTCTCTCCTATAAGATTTTCCAGATTATCAAACATCTGACGGGCAGGCTTCCGGGGAGTAATATTGAAAATTATCTTCAAATGAATTTTGTAATTTAACGAAACAAATGTAATTAATGAATCATGGCAGATCGTCAGGAATATGGAATTTAAGAGTTACTTTATATAATTCAATGTGAGATTTGGCGACAAAACATTTGAAGTACGACCATGTGGTAATAATTTAGATCTAGAGATGTCAACGTGGTGGACGGGTTGCTATGGTTAGTGCACATCATGTATCCGGTTGTCATATAGGAGTTCTGTTGGATCAATATTGTGCATATTAATGAATATATCTGAAACGCCGGGTATAGCGTTTGGTAAATGACCGACTTCAATTATTCATTAGGTGATATTGTGTAATGATCGACGTTGTAACTTGTATTCTGAGTGGAATGGTTACGCGTACATTTTCATACCTCTAAAACCGTCGTGAAACAAGCAACATTCTCCATTATGGAGGTTATGAAAATTAATCTACGAGGGACAGTGTTCATAACATCACACAAGAAACTACAAAGTTATCCAGATACAACGTTAGCATCCTTAACCCATCTTTCCGAAAATTACAACACGGAAAAGGACGAGTATTTTTTCGACAGAAACCCTTCTGGTTTTCACAATGTCCTTGATTTCTATTCGACCGGAAAATTACACATGTCTTATACGACCTGTGCTGAAAGCTTTAGAGAGGAGCTGGCCTTTTGGGGGATCCCTCTGAAGTCTGTTAATAAATGTTGTTGGAAGACGCTCTACCAGCTCGACGAGGATATGGACGTCCTTGAGAAGATCTTGGTTCGACTCCGATGCGGTCGTGAAGAGTCTCACCCCGATAACAGTAGTAGTACAACTCAGCTCCATCGACTCCGAGTTAGAATCTGGAGGCTGCTTACAGACTTCCAGTCATCAAAAATGGCAAAGGTAAGTCGAATAGCCAACCTTCCGACCGACAGGACTTCAAATTTGGTAGTTTATGCCAAACTTAGGATAATTACTTTTAACACAGTTTTTGTTAATTCATTCATAAGTGCGATCGATTTACAATAATAAAGATTAAATTAACTGGGAAACTGAATAATGCGAACAGCAGTGCATATCGTTAGTACTGGTATATGTGAAGTAATGTTCAGAAGAGAGTTGGGAACAATCAAGTAAAGGGAAGTATACAATTATATTTTGGAGTGACGTCTATGTGTTCACGACCCTAAGCCTGTTACTATACAAATGTTTAGTGACAAGTACTCTTCACGCCTTTTTAGGCTGCTTATTTTAGTTTTCTCTTGTCAAACTGACAGAGACCATTTTAATTTTACTCAAGGCTTGTATAACATTGGGAGCTAAAAAGTAAGAGATATCAATAACATTGGTTAGATATCAATAGTTAGATGTCACAAGTTAGGATAATAGTTACAAAAAAATAGTTAAATGTCAATAGTTAAAAGTTTAAATGTAAATGATAGGATGTCAGGAGTGAGGTATCAACATCACTGAGCCTCGTTTATCAGCCATAACTTTACACTGGGGGTTGAAATTAGACGCAATTTCGAAATAGCAAATACGGTAATGGAACGCCAACATAGATTGGCGTGATTTCTGTGGGATGGTTAAATATTATAATAAAAGTCACTGAACCATACCATTATTTTTGTATACATTGATTAATAAAGGCTATATTCACAGTGATTGTTCAAAGCTAGGTACACCTAAATTTTAAATCAGGGTACTTAACAAAACTAATAACAATCTATTTCTTTATATTGTTTTGTTTACATTATCGGTAGGTTAACGTAAATGATATACTGTGTGCGTCTCCATCTGCCACAAATACATTACCATATAACAAAAGCTGGAACGAGTCAAAACGAGATGTCATAATGTGTACAGAAAGCAGGACAGTAGAAGCTGTCATAATAATTTGATTATTCCAATTAAACGACGTAGTCACCATAACTTAAGCCATGCTAAATTGCAGTATGACCCTAGTATATTGCCGTAAACCTATTCCGTCTTTGCGTATTGCAGAATTACCTTCTCTTTGGAGCAGGTATTGATTGTTACGTCCTTGGTTTGTGTGAGAAAATTACGTCGTTTTCTCAAAAAATGATGACGTTACTCTCACAAACAAATGACGTAACAATCAATACCTGTTCACAAGAGCAGATAACTCTGCAATACGAAAAGACGGAATAGAGCTTATAGCTTATAGATATATGTGTTCGACAGGTTCACGTTGAAATTAGACAGCAATATAAATGAATAAAATAACCAATTACTGTTCTGACCTTTCCTTCGGTTATCTCAGTCAACGTTAAGAAGACATATTGACAATTTGTTTACATAAATGTCTCAGTCCACGTTAAGAAGACATATTGACAATTTGTTTACATAAATATCTCAGTCAATGTTAAGAAGACATATTGACAATTTGTTTACATAAGTATCTCGGTCAACGTTAAAAAGACATATTGACAATTTGTTTACATAAAGAGGGTCTCAGTAACCAAGCCGGCTCACCGTTCAACCACGTCTACGATGTTTCACGGCATTACAGTAGTTAATAAGACATCTTCTTATTTTGATAAAATTTATTTTGGTAAAGTAATATATATAATAATAATAATAATAATAATAATAATAATTCGGGGTTCTTAGATACCGCTTTATCACAACCTAGTTCGTAGGTCGTCTCAAAGCGGTTCACAAATTATTATCCGTAGTTATAGGGCCTTTGCAACCAGACAATATCTTTCTCAACTCCCGGGGAGCATACAGCCGGAGCTGCAATTTCGGCGCTAACAGATAGCATTCAATAATTCTAGCACTGCCCAACCACGTACTCATTTACAGCTGAGTAGACTGGAACAAGCAGAGTAAAATATCCTGCTCAAAAATACAACACGTACAGTGCCGTGCCGTGACTCGAACCCGCAACCCTTCGGTCACGCGACCGGCGTCATACCACTAGACTACCGTGCCTCCTTAGTATATATATGGGAATCTAACACAGCAATGGTCAGAAGTTAACAGTTAGGTGAACTGCAAATAGTCAGGTGTTCAACGTGTAAATGTCATTAGTCCATGTGTTAACTATCTTACTGACAATAGTCATGTGGCAATAGCTAGGTGTGAACAGTGTACATGTCATTAGTCCAAGCGTCATTACTCCATGTGTTAACGTTCTTACTGACAATAGTCATGTGGCAATAGCTAGGTGTGAACAGTGTACATGTCATTAGTCCAGGTGTCATTAGTCCAGATGTTAACATTCTTACTGACAATAGTCATGTGGCAATAGCTAGGTGTGAACAGTGTACATGTCATTAGTCCAGGTGTCATTAGTCCATATGTTAACATTCTTACTGACAATAGTCATGTGGCAATAGCTAGGTGTGAACAGTGTACATGTCATTAGTCCAGGTGTCATTAGTCCATGTGTTAACGTTTTTACTGACAATAGTCATGTGGCAATAGCTAGGTATGAACAGTGTACATGTCATTAGTCCAGGTGTCATTAGTCCATGTGTTAACGTTTTTACTGACAATAGTCATGTGGCAATAGCTAGGTATGAACAGTGTACATGTCATTAGTCCAGGTGTCATTAGTCCATGTGTTAACGTTTTTACTGACAATAGTCATGTGGCAATAGCTAGGTATGAACAGTGTACATGTCATTAGTCCAGGTGTCATTAGTCCATGTGTTAACGTTTTTACTGACAATAGTCATGTGGCAATAGCTAGGTATGAACAGTGTACATGTCATTAGTCCAGGTGTCATTAGTCCATGTGTTAACGTTTTTACTGACAATAGTCATGTGGCAATAGCTAGGTATGAACAGTGTACATGTCATTAGTCCAGGTGTCATTAGTCCATGTGTTAACGTTTTTACTGACAATAGTCATGTGGCAATAGCTAGGTATGAACAGTGTACATGTCATTAGTCCAGGTGTCATTAGTCCATGTGTTAACGTTTTTACTGACAATAGTCATGTGGCAATAGCTAGGTATGAACAGTGTACATGTCATTAGTCCAGGTGTCATTAGTCCATGTGTTAACGTTTTTACTGACAATAGTCATGTGGCAATAGCTAGGTATGAACAGTGTACATGTCATTAGTCCAGGTGTCATTAGTCCATGTGTTAACGTTTTTACTGACAATAGTCATGTGGCAATAGCTAGGTATGAACAGTGTACATGTCATTAGTCCAGGTGTCATTAGTCCATGTGTTAACGTTTTTACTGACAATAGTCATGTGGCAATAGCTAGGTATGAACAGTGTACATGTCATTAGTCCAGGTGTCATTAGTCCATGTGTTAACGTTTTTACTGACAATAGTCATGTGGCAATAGCTAGGTATGAACAGTGTACATGTCATTAGTCCAGGTGTCATTAGTCCATGTGTTAACGTTTTTACTGACAATAGTCATGTGGCAATAGCTAGGTATGAACAGTGTACATGTCATTAGTCCAGGTGTCATTAGTCCATGTGTTAACGTTTTTACTGACAATAGTCATGTGGCAATAGCTAGGTATGAACAGTGTACATGTCATTAGTCCAGGTGTCATTAGTCCATGTGTTAACGTTTTTACTGACAATAGTCATGTGGCAATAGCTAGGTATGAACAGTGTACATGTCATTAGTCCAGGTGTCATTAGTCCATGTGTTAACGTTTTTACTGACAATAGTCATGTGGCAATAGCTAGGTATGAACAGTGTACATGTCATTAGTCCAGGTGTCATTAGTCCATGTGTTAACGTTTTTACTGACAATAGTCATGTGGCAATAGCTAGGTATGAACAGTGTACATGTCATTAGTCCAGGTGTCATTAGTCCATGTGTTAACGTTTTTACTGACAATAGTCATGTGGCAATAGCTAGGTATGAACAGTGTACATGTCATTAGTCCAGGTGTCATTAGTCCATGTGTTAACGTTTTTACTGACAATAGTCATGTGGCAATAGCTAGGTATGAACAGTGTACATGTCATTAGTCCAGGTGTCATTAGTCCATGTGTTAACGTTTTTACTGACAATAGTCATGTGGCAATAGCTAGGTATGAACAGTGTACATGTCATTAGTCCAGGTGTCATTAGTCCATGTGTTAACGTTTTTACTGACAATAGTCATGTGGCAATAGCTAGGTATGAACAGTGTACATGTCATTAGTCCAGGTGTCATTAGTCCATGTGTTAACGTTTTTACTGACAATAGTCATGTGGCAATAGCTAGGTATGAACAGTGTACATGTCATTAGTCCAGGTGTCATTAGTCCATGTGTTAACGTTTTTACTGACAATAGTCATGTGGCAATAGCTAGGTATGAACAGTGTACATGTCATTAGTCCAGGTGTCATTAGTCCATGTGTTAACGTTTTTACTGACAATAGTCATGTGGCAATAGCTAGGTATGAACAGTGTACATGTCATTAGTCCAGGTGTCATTAGTCCATGTGTTAACGTTTTTACTGACAATAGTCATGTGGCAATAGCTAGGTATGAACAGTGTACATGTCATTAGTCCAGGTGTCATTAGTCCATGTGTTAACGTTTTTACTGACAATAGTCATGTGGCAATAGCTAGGTATGAACAGTGTACATGTCATTAGTCCAGGTGTCATTAGTCCATGTGTTAACGTTTTTACTGACAATAGTCATGTGGCAATAGCTAGGTATGAACAGTGTACATGTCATTAGTCCAGGTGTCATTAGTCCATGTGTTAACGTTTTTACTGACAATAGTCATGTGGCAATAGCTAGGTATGAACAGTGTACATGTCATTAGTCCAGGTGTCATTAGTCCATGTGTTAACGTTTTTACTGACAATAGTCATGTGGCAATAGCTAGGTATGAACAGTGTACATGTCATTAGTCCAGGTGTCATTAGTCCATGTGTTAACGTTTTTACTGACAATAGTCATGTGGCAATAGCTAGGTATGAACAGTGTACATGTCATTAGTCCAGGTGTCATTAGTCCATGTGTTAACGTTTTTACTGACAATAGTCATGTGGCAATAGCTAGGTATGAACAGTGTACATGTCATTAGTCCAGGTGTCATTAGTCCATGTGTTAACGTTTTTACTGACAATAGTCATGTGGCAATAGCTAGGTATGAACAGTGTACATGTCATTAGTCCAGGTGTCATTAGTCCATGTGTTAACGTTTTTACTGACAATAGTCATGTGGCAATAGCTAGGTATGAACAGTGTACATGTCATTAGTCCAGGTGTCATTAGTCCATGTGTTAACGTTTTTACTGACAATAGTCATGTGGCAATAGCTAGGTATGAACAGTGTACATGTCATTAGTCCAGGTGTCATTAGTCCATGTGTTAACGTTTTTACTGACAATAGTCATGTGGCAATAGCTAGGTATGAACAGTGTACATGTCATTAGTCCAGGTGTCATTAGTCCATGTGTTAACGTTTTTACTGACAATAGTCATGTGGCAATAGCTAGGTATGAACAGTGTACATGTCATTAGTCCAGGTGTCATTAGTCCATGTGTTAACGTTTTTACTGACAATAGTCATGTGGCAATAGCTAGGTATGAACAGTGTACATGTCATTAGTCCAGGTGTCATTAGTCCATGTGTTAACGTTTTTACTGACAATAGTCATGTGGCAATAGCTAGGTATGAACAGTGTACATGTCATTAGTCCAGGTGTCATTAGTCCATGTGTTAACGTTTTTACTGACAATAGTCATGTGGCAATAGCTAGGTATGAACAGTGTACATGTCATTAGTCCAGGTGTCATTAGTCCATGTGTTAACGTTTTTACTGACAATAGTCATGTGGCAATAGCTAGGTATGAACAGTGTACATGTCATTAGTCCAGGTGTCATTAGTCCATGTGTTAACGTTTTTACTGACAATAGTCATGTGGCAATAGCTAGATGTGAACAGTGTACATGTCATTAGTCCTGGTGTCATTAGTCCATGTGTTAACGTTCTTACTGACAATAGTCATGTGGCAATAGCTAGGTGTGAACAGTGTACATGTCATTAGTCCAGGTGTTAACGTTTTTACTGACAATAGTCATGTGGCAATAGCTAGGTGTGAACAGTGTACATGACATTAGTCCAGTTGTCATTAGTCCATGTGTTAACGTTCTTACTGACAATAGTTATGTGTCAATAGCTAGGTATGAACAGTGTGCATGTCATTAGTCCAGTTGTCATTAGTCCATGTGTTAACCTTCTTACTGACAATAGTCATGTGGCAATAGCTAGGTGTGAACAGTGTTTAATTTCATTAGTAAAAAGGGCTAATGCTGAAATGGAATATAATTGGGTTTCCACATATATATGCCTAGTGTTAAATTATTACATAGGTACGTACTTTCACTATTCACACATTGTAGTAAAATACATACAGCAAAGGTACATTATACAAATAGACATAACTACTGTGCTTACAATGGAGGTAGCCATCAGGAAAACTTCAGGACGGAGAAAGGGAAACAAACTGCAGTTATTGTTCAAGATAGATGAATAATAATATCAATTCAAGCCTTACTGAATGAGAATTATCCAATGGAATTCTCATAACAAAACAACCAAGCTAAGTAGAAGAAAGCGTTGATAATGTTAAAATGTCATTGTTTTTGGCAAAATACATACGTTTAAACTAAAACCTTTTTTAAAAACTGTCAAAAAAGCCAAAGGGCGAAATATTAGCAGAAATAAAACCCAGTTTAGAGCATAGGAACAGATGTGTTTTTGTTGCATAATAACGTTTCCGTGTCGCTACTATAATGGCAGTGTTTGCCTTGCAGGTTTTGCACTTCCTGTTGGCACTCGTGATGAGTATATCCATACTGACATACTCCCTCCAAACGCTCAAGCAGTTCCGAGTTGACAGACATGACGATAACAAGCTGGACAGTAACACAAGTTCCGCAAAAATTCGTCTTATTTGGAACACATCGCCACATCCATCACTGGTCGCGTTGGATGTCATTTCCAACGGAATTTTGACACTAGAATTCGCACTGCGCATCTGCACGTGTCCTAGCTTGAAGACATTTTGGAGAAGTCTGCTGAACATCATAGACCTGTTGTCCTGTGTAGGTATATGGTTGAACCTGTCATTTGAGCGAGTCCATGACTCTTTACAGTTCGGCCCATTGTGGATCATCTCGTGCGTGTTCGGTTTTCTATACTCGTTCCGGATCTTACGCGTCCTGCGATTGGTCCGTCATAACTGTGGAATGCAGATTCTCTATCTGAGTATAAAATCTAGCTCAAGGGAACTTTGTCTGCTTGCTTGCGCTTTTGGATGTTTTGTAATCATATTCGCAGGATTTATATACGTTGCCGAATTACAAGCGAATACATTTTCCGACCTGTTTGTTTCCATGTGGTGGTCAGTTATCACCATGACGACAGTGGGGTATGGTGACCATGTTCCCTCTACTGACACCGGATATGTCGTCGGAACTTTGTGTACATTGGTTGGGATTTTATTAATTGCACTTCCAGTTGCTATTACATCGTCAAACTTTCACGACTTTTATAAATTCAACAAATATCGACACCGACATTTACTTTTATCAGAAAAGCGAACGGGACTGTGTTCCAAACCAAATATCTGCTGCAGCGTAAAAGTCAAACCAATAGATATCGACAGACATGTTGCATTTAAATAAACGGACTCGATCCAGCCTGTGATATACTATGTGGGTAGTGTATTAGGACGCTAAGCCGTTAGCACTTCATGTCGAATTAGCCTTTGTCTAGTTGTCATTCATACTGCCTATTAATGCCGAGCTGAAGTAGATCAATACTGATAACTATCCTTTTTAGAATATTCATATCTCACATGAATACAGACTAAGTTTTCAAAACTTAGTTAGGGTATGTTTGTTTAATGAATTGGACTGCCATATTTCAGAAGGATTATCAGTATTCAGAATTAGTTAGCGTTACTTGACTGGGGCGATCGCTGGCGACGAGATAGCTCAATTGACCAGCTACGCTTACGCCTAGAGTTCGGGATCAACCCCTTGCAGAATTTTGATTTTAATATTTAAAAATATATAGATGGGTGGCTCCGTGTTCGAGTTCCGGTCTGGTCGCTTCATTAGGGTTTTTTTCTTGTCATATTTGGCGTCAAACTAGATATACCCACAGAAGATGTTATAGACTCGTGTGTCTTCAGGACCGACTGAGGGAGCAATGGGCTGGGTCGATCGCAGTCGACGCGGTAGCTCAATTGGTTAGGGCGTCCGTCTATCCTTCGTAAGTCCTGAATTTGAATCCTGGTAGGCCGAAACATATTTCCTTTTCTGTTACTTCATCATTATGACGTCATGACCAGAATGCTACTCGAGCAATGACATTCATGTGTGATATGTATCCCATTCGAATGTATTAGGGTATTATGCCTCCAGACGCGGCCGGAAGTGGAGCGGATTACATAAAGAAGCACCTTAAGAAGCTTAAGGCGGTGTCAACTACGATGAACCGATGAACCAATATAGTGGTAAGGCTATGCAGTTGTAGATATATAAAGATATAAAAAAAAACAGAACATTTACTGTAACAAACAAATATCGTTAACCCAAGGTAAGCAGCAGCCGTGACTGTTACAGAAAATACATATTTTTGCTGATTATGATTATGGAGTTGATACAAAGGTAAAACAAGGACTTCAGAACTATTGTATATATATTTTATGCATTAAAAATATTAAACTCTCTGTACGGGTCTGTTGTTGATGCACATTAATTCGTTTTCTCTGCGCATTAGCTGTTAGACCCATATAAAAAATCTCCACAATACTCAAACCAGATGCTACATGGCATTCTGTAATTTACCATTAAATATAAAAAGCTGATTTTGAAACGGAAAGAGTGCCTTCAAATATAATCAAATAAGTTATCACTGTATTCCGGGGAAACATGATACACGCTACAGCTCATTTAAATGGTATCGCAAAGGCGCGGATAATAGATCATTTTCCATTAAGAAGCAGTAAAAAACAATCGTCATTGTGTCGCAATTGTAGACTGTAGCAAGTTCAATTTTGCTGTCAAACTTGTTATATTCAATAACTAAAGCACTTCAATTTTTGACCTCGAAAAGGGTGAAAAATAACACATAATAATGGGCCAAAAAGGAAGCACAAGGACCCACCATTTTTGGGCTGTTTTAGAAAGAGGAAATATTTTCTATTAATAGCAGAACTTGCTGTATCAAGCGTTAAATGTCTTTTCTGAGATAAATAAATAAGATTAAGAAATTTTACTTTGGTAATTTAAAAGAAAAGATTATTTTGATAAAATCTACAATCATGCATACATATATGATAACACACCTGCAAGATATCGTACGAATATGTTCTGCAAATGGTCAAAACTAAAAAAATCACCTAAAATCACATATTATCTTAAGTTGTTGTCTTTGACCGATTATTGCACAAAAATGAACACACGGACAATTTCTTTTTGCAATTTCTACTACTAGAATGCCATTAACTCCTTTTTCCACAAATGCATATCAGAGAAACATTTAATAAGGAAATGTTTGAACCCTCAGAGGTGTACATCCTTAAAGAAGTTAGAACATGACGATATATCAACGTTGCGTGTTTTTACCTTCAATTAGTCGTGTTGGCTTCGTATACGTGTCATATACACATGGGTATACCTCACTTTAATTACGTGGTATTTGGAGCTTGTACTTATAGTTTTCTCAATAACATTAACTACACGGATATGTCACGATCAAAGGTACATATATGTATGTGGCAATTTAGCATACACAAAACTCTTGAGATCAAATGTCACATTTCAGACAAATCAAAAATATTTTCAACAAAACGTTTCGACAGACGTCAATTTTTTTTATGTATAATTACTTAACTCTCCCTCCATCCGTTCATATTTTGAGAAAAAAAGATTGAGCCTCCGAAATGTATCTATAACGAACGCGGCCTTGTGTCGGTAGGAATTGCGGGTACCTTAAATCATCGTTTTGTCGTTGTTGTAAAAATTCGGATCGAAAGCTTGATTTTCATTTATAGTCAATATAGCTTTTATTTACCATTCCAATCGACCTTCTTTCAATCAGAAACTACAAATGTAAACCGTTCCGCCGTACACTTTTAACAGCCAACAATACTATGCATTCATGAAACCGTTCTGATGCTCAAGCATGGATTATGTGCTCAAAACCTACTTTCTTGTTACTCGCTTAATCATGTCAATCGATCAAAACGTAAAATGTAAAAACTGAAAACAGTAATCGGCTATAAGTCTCTTCAATATTTATCCAAATCTTTGACAAAATAAGATTGTATTATTAATCTATAACCGAAACTAGAAATAAGGCTTGAGCAAAAAATCCATGCTTAAGCATGAGAATGGTTTAATGAATACAGGCCAAGGGATTTTTGTGATAAGCAGCGTTTTTTCAGTTGTCTCGTGAACCTTCTAATTGATACTTTCATACCCGGACTTTACATATTCAATTTGGCTCTAGGTCTATGTCGCTTATAATGAAATTCGATTGTGCCGATAAATATAAAACAAAATTATCGCTCAAAGTCACAAAAAAATCAGCTGTATTCATAAGCACTCCCGCTCCAATACAAACTGATATGACCATCATTTACCCAAAAGGAGAACTGAATCAGGTCAGAAAATAAATACACTAGATGACAAGACGGTGAGAGTAATTAATTATATAAACAGACAAGCCGAACCTGGCAGAGGTGTTGAAATCACTAAAACGTATATAGAAGAAACAAAGTCAAATAATTAATAAGCGATATTGCAAAGGGTGTTTAGAAAATCTCGAAGAAAATAAATTCTGGAGTGACGAAAGCTAAAAATGTCGGATATACTGTAAGACCTTAATTCATGTTATGTACATGACGGAAAACAAACAAGATTGGCGACTAGCAAAAAGTATAAAGTAAACGTATTGGCTGATTCCCTTTGTAGTGTTTTGTAACAGAACCAATCTAGGGGATATCTCAACGTCTGAAACTAAGCACACAACACGCATTCCGAAATGTAACAAAAAATAAAGAAAATAGTTAATTAACTACATACCTTTTAATCACGTGACACGCATGATCTACTTCCTAAACTACTATGAGAAATAGAAAACACGACCAGCCAACACTTGTATCAACTATTCAAGGCATCCTTGAGACTGAGGAGAGATCACAGAAAAACTCAAAAAGGAGACGAAAAGAACTTGTAAAATAATGGACCAGTCACGTTTACCAACATGTTTTGGAAAACTATGGAAAAGTAATGAAAATATATTAATCACAAATCACATTGAATATAATGAACTGCTAAGCGAGGAACCGTTTAGATTCATGAAAGGCACTCATCCATTATACTACAACTATTGAAAAGAAATTCAAGATTGAAAGGAAATTCTGAACCAAAGAGGAACTATTCAGGGGTTTCAGCACAGTACCACACAGGCTTTTAGGGGACATTTGGATTCCATATAGAAAATGGCGACAGTGTGCAAAAATTGAAACAAAAAGGAAAAAAACATCAGCACAATCAAAAAATGAAATCACTGACATTCCTGCACTCCGCAAAGATGGACAACTCACAACAGACACAACAACAAAAGCAAATATCCTAAACCAACCATTTCAAGGTGCCTTCACAACAGAAAAGAACCATGATATGCCTGACAAAGGACCATCATCACACCCAATCATGCCTGAAATACACATCACCAACAATGGTATAGGAAAGTTATTACATAACATTAACCATCATTAAGCAATAGGACCTAATCAGATCTACGGCAAAATACTAAAAGAATTAAAAGACATCACAGCACCCATACATACAAGGATTTTTAGCACATCACTCAACACAGGCACATTACCCAATGACTTGAAACATGCGAATGTAAACAATAAAATGTTTTATTACATTTTTGCCAGTGAAATATCGGATTCTATCAACTTGATAAAACTGATATCTTTCACACTGGGACAAATATCAAAAGTGATTTTTTCACACTGTGACAAATATCAAAAGTGATATTTTCACACTTTGAAAATATCACTTCTTGGTATTGACCAATCATAACGGTATCTTCTATTCGCTGCATTCAAAGGCAACGATTTTTTTGTTCAGATTCAAATGAAGCGACGGTAGAATAAGTGGTTGTTATGGTAAATGTTTGGTACACAAACTTAAGTATTTACATAAATATACAATTAATAACATTTCAAGTTCAAGTTCTTTATTACTTTAAGTCGGTTGACTTATCAGTCATAACATATATACAAAACAATACAGAGACAACATACAATATGATACACACACACATACACACACACACACACACACACACACACACACACATACACAATTCAACTTTTATTTGACAACTTATTGGATAACTATACTTTACAATAAATTACAAATTACGCATATGTATTGTGCAATCAACACTCATTATCACTCCCACATCATTATTGTGCATTCAACAATCATTAACATTTGTATAAGCAATCATACCAGAAAATAGCAGAAACGTCGGAATTGCGTTGAGTATCCTAACCAAAATAGCGCGCAGCCTTGTTGTCAAGCGTGACGTCATTATAATATGGTGCTAATTATTACGCTTCTGATTTCCGCCCTGTTTTTATGCATTACATTTTTAATGTTTTATGCTTTAAAAATGCAATAAATAGAAAATTTAATGGTGTCTTCAGTAATACCAAATATATTTCACGAGTGTGACTAACATTTTGATATTTTTCACCAGTGCGCCATTAAATATCCTCTATGTATTCTGGCAACCTCCAACACGGCTTTTGATCCTCCAGATCTTGTGAAACACAACTCACCTCATTCTTTCGCGACCTTGCACAAAATAGTAACACCAACACACAGAGATCATCATAATGGACTTTGCCAAAGCATTGGACAAAATCCCACGTATACTATGGAATAACAGGGAGGGAACACACTCACATGGATCACAGATTTCTTATCACATCGCACCCAAACAGTAGTACTAGAAGAAAAACAATCAGACAAAATTTCAGTCATATCAGGTATACCTTAAGGAAGGGCTGTTACGGCGTGATTTCTCACCCCGAAACGATTTCTCATATGCTCGAGAAATCGTGCTAAAATTCGCAACGCGATTTCTCCCCCCGACACGATTTCTCCCCCCGACACGGACACGATTTCTCCCCCCGACACGATTTCTCACCCCGACACGATTTCTCACCCGGGGATCATGCTATTTGGCGATTGTGGTATATTTAGGCTTTTTTATAAAGGGACTATTTCCAGCTATGTTGAATTACATAGGAGCCTGCCCCTTCATAAATTTTGTTTCAGAAGTGCTACGAGATTTATGCTGTTGTTTTAACTTTTTTCAATCCCTTATACATCCGATGTTATTACTTTGAATCACTCTTCTAAATATTTAGATGATTAATTAACCTTACTACAGCATGGGGAACGAATAATGCTATATCATTCTGAAAGTATTTTTCTGAAAAATAATCGTATTTTTTGCATCGTATTACTTGGGAAAGGACGTTTACTCTCTTGTAGTGCTGTAATAATATATTTATCATCCAGAATATGAGTTAAATTGAACATTTTGTGAAAATTTTAATGTAAAATATAGGATTTTTCATTC